ATGTGGCATTGACATATACGAGGGACAAAATCACAAGTCGCGCTCAGATAAGGAAATGTAGGGAAAAGTAATTATAAAAACGATCAGCCGCTCATGTGCGGCGATATTTTAGGGGAACGTTTCGCTGCTCTCTTTTGTTCTGAATTTTTGGTGGCTTCAGTCCACCTTAATCAGAGTTACAATGTTGAGGGTGGTTCGTTCGTTTCGCTGTTGGTTTTAGGTAACATGTCCTTGCTACCTGTTATCACTTGTGTAAGCATTGTGATTTTCTCCCAGCTTCATTTTCCCCTGCTTAATGATTCTGAGATAAAATGTTTTTTCCACACAATTCGTGACATAAAAACTAGAAATAATTATCAATTGAACGTCCTCTAGATAAATAAAGCCAATATTGCGTTTATGATATTTACCTTGTTAGGGTACAAGGTAAATATTTTCAATCATTATCAGACAGCAAACGAAAACATGGTTCATATTGGTAACTTAGCTAGTACGTACAGGAAAGAAGCTTTCAAGTATGACTTAGCTTATTGAAAGAAACTGCTTTAACTCTTTCAACTCCATAATTATATAACTCCTTAGATTATTGATTAAGTAGGGTAAAAGCTTTGCATGACTAGTATATATCCCCGGTGTTTTTAAAGTCTTCTCTTAAGCCTTTGTTTCCAATTTCCACACGCCAAAAGATTGATCATAATTTGTTTACAACTTAAAGTTGATGATTTCTATATGCCGCTGTTATGTAATTCGAAAACACTGGTCTTTTTTGAATATTGTTTATTGTAACTAACAATGTCTTTCAAATTTTCGCTCCAAATTAGTCCATAATTCATCTGGAAAAAAATTGTGCCTCCAGGGCTTCAAGGAGACTAAAACACGCCAAGATCATGCAATAGTGTTTACAAAGAGTTCATACGTAGACCATGCGCTGGCTGTTACTCAGAACAAATCACTTTTTTGCAGGGCTTGTAACGAACATCTAAATCGTCGTTCTGAAAAAAATTGAGCAATATTTCGTTTCGTATGGCCTCAAGCTACCAAGCAAAGTTCATCGTACTATTGTGCTTGTATGCACCATAAATAAAACATATTCCATTGGCTGAATAAATATCGTAGCGAGAAGGGAATAATTTTGCAGGCACAAAGACATAGACCTTGGTCTAAAAATTAAAGAGGTGAGTAAGACAGACAGTTTTACCTCAAAGTGCATGTGGCGATGAAATATTTCCATTAGCTACAACGTAGAAGCTGAAATAGATAAGGGAAATAGTTAAAGAAAATGAGTAATACTCTGACATAAGATTTGAACTTTCGAATAATTATTCAAGTAAATATTTGCACGTTCTATATAGAAGTTTTCTTTCACTTATTTTTGATATTAACGTGTAATAGATGAGATCAACAACCGCTCATGTAGACAGTGTAGTAGTGTAGTATAGTATATATTGAATAATGTAATGGTTAGCGAACTCGTTCAGGCCAAATAGGTTACGTTTGCAGAAGATTACGTTCTTTCAGCGTCATGACAGTCTAAGGTCTTCTGTTGCACCAAAAGATATTTGTTCATTGCAAAAGAAAAAGGCAAAGTAAAGCAGTGTTTCAGACCGCCATCCATCGATTCATGAAAAAAAAAATACATAAATAAATAAGAAATACATAACATACGCGTAATATGCCGTCAGCAAGTTCGCTTTGTGAGTAGTCATGTTTCTCCATACCAAGGAGCTATAGTTTTAAGAGCCACTGCCTGTAAATATGGAAAATCCTATGACAGGACCAAAAATTCGATTTATTTTGTCGAAAAGACCCTTTTGGTGAACTATTTTCTAAAATATTCTGGAGAAATATGTGAAATCTAGGAAAGTTAGAAATACTGGTCTATCCGCTATTGGAGTTTGTGAATGTGTGTGTGTGTCTGTTTTTTTTTGTTTTTTNCTGCCTGTAAATATGGAAAGTCCTATGACAGGACCAAAAATTCGATTTAGTTTGTCGAAAAGACCCTTTTGGTTAATCTATTTTCTAAAATATTCTAGAGAAATATGTGAAATCTAAGATTGAATTCATTTGCGTGAGCCTCATGCTCGATGCGTGAGACTTGAGAGCACTGTGTGGTTTTTTTTTTTTTTTCTTTTTTTTTCTTTTTCTTTTTTAATTTGCGAAAAGGTGGCATTTTTTCTAAACAATTTAAGTCCTACAATAAATTTCTTATCAATATAGCTTGCTCGTGACCGTAATGGCGCTCGGTCTTTTTTGTACTGTCAAGACTTCGGGCGGATATTCTCTAAGTATCGCCCTCGCACTCGGCTAATACGATATACGTAATCATCGTCATATAAGCGGGGACCAAAGTAATGGTGCAAGTTGGCGAATATATGTGTAGCCATTCAAAGCTTTCAACCAGCGTCAAACATCAGCGAAAACAACCACGTAAAGAAGCTATTACAATGTGGGTGTTGCCAATTATCTGTTATTATTTCTCCCAGCTTTATTTCCCCCCACTTAATGGTTCTAAGATAAAATGTTTTCTCTACGCAATTCGTGACATAAAAAGTAGAAATAATTATTAAACGTCTTCTAGAATAAATAAAGCCAATATTGCCTTTATGATATTTATCTTGTTAGGGTACAAGGTAAATGTTTTCAATGTTATGAGAGGGGACATCGGGGGGTTCTGAACACCGCAACACCGCAACACCGCAAAAAAAAAAAAAATTAACGAACACAGCATCACCTCAAGAAAGTCAACGAAACACCATCACCGCAATACGTATTTTTAGCGCCATGATTCGTTCATCTACACTTAAAATAGTACTTTTTATAGCTCAACAATTTTCCACAAAATAAACACATTGTTTCTGTCCTCGCTCCTCCACGTATCTACCGAACACTGAGCTCCGGGTGGCAGAGGTCGAGTTAC